ACCAAAAAAAGCACCCACCACTCAACAAACTTTTAATACAACTTGGTAAAATTAAATCTTTCTAAATTGCAATGTCCCCAGATGTTACTACAGATAACCACCATGCATTATCCCACAATTGGAAAGGACAGAAGGTAGGCTTAATACTAGAGTTCTCTATTTCCAAAAGGACCTATTGCCACAAAGGATTAAATTGTTTTCTCTCTGTGAAAAAGTAGACAAACACTACTGAAAATGGAATTATATGTTCTTAGCCCCTTCATACGCTATTCTATGCAAGCCACTGCAGAGCAGTGTGCCCCCTCTTTCACAGCTGTACACAATCTCCAAAGTAGCTGGTAAGCTGACAGACTCAAAATATTATTTCTAAAGTCCTTTTTGAACCACTATCATACTGCAGAGCAGTAGTTGTAATTCCAGTTCCACAAGTTGCTTTAGTCCCTAGTCCCAGCAGATCATTAAAACAAGGGAGGCACTTTATACACTTCATCTTTTAATAAGTTGGAAGCTATGATTCTATACAAAAAGTCACCCTTGTGGCCCCTTCACAAGCCACATACACTGTCCTAATTACTTCAAGTAACTAAATTCAGTTGTGTAATTCTGAGCTAATTCTTTTTTCCCCCCAAGTAGGCAGTCAGGATTTTAATGGAAAATGTGCAGATGTGAATATCCAACTGTGTGCATTCTCTTATGTGTATCTTCATGCTTCATAAACCTTCTACCACAATTTAATTTTCACTGGATCATAAATATCTGAAGAAAATTGAACTCAGAGGATTTTCACAGAGTAAACACTTTAAACCTCAGAGCTGGAGTCTACTCCCTGCTGTTATGCCAGCAGTTTCAAGCAGTGAAATACATTCTGGGGCTACCAAACACAGGACTTGTCACATAGTGATTGATTTCTCCATCTTCCCAAACAGGTCACAGATATTTGTTTCAGTCAAGGATGGCATATTCTTATCATCTACCAATGACAAAGCCAATTCTTTTTCCTACTGGGCCAGATACAAATTAAAATTCAAGACAAATGCTCCACAGTGAATCAATACTCACCAACCAATCACCTCTCTTGAGAACAATTAAGCAGCATTTTTGCCATCTGATCTTCCCAGAGGAGTGAGGGACAGCTTTAATTCTGCTTTGCATCCCTTTAGAGCAAACTACTGAAATAGTCAGGTAAACATGAACCCAACCTTTTGCTACCGCCTCACCTTCTTCCCAGCCAGGGCTGTCTCCCTCAGATAACTCTAGCAAAGGAAATTTTCACTTTTATGGCCAAATCCCAAACTCCTGTGACAGAATTTACAACTAGCAGATGCAGCTGTTAATAATCCCTTTATAACCTTGCAACAAATTCAAGCCTGAATCCAATTCTGCAATCATTACTTGTGAAGCCACAGAACCCCTTCCTAAGGAGAAAGATCTTTAGAAATATCAGAAAAAGCTGTGTGACTGAGTCATCAGTTTAAGCTTGTTTCATTCCAAAGGTACTTTTGAGAAGTTTGTGTCTGTCCATGTGCTGTCCTAGAGGAAAAATAAATACAGCAATCTCAACAAAAATAACAGAAGAAATAAGTTTTTGTATTGACTGCAAAAGAATAGCCAAATTCATTCCAAGGATTGAATTAGGCTGGAAACTAACACAAGAATGTAGTTCCAGTGGAAAGAAGATGTTTTGACCCTGAGAAGAAGTAAAGGCAAAAACACCACAGAGAGGAATCGTGCTTTAACCAGGAGTCACTGCTACTTTCCCACACAGCTGTAAATCAGGATCCCATAGATGCAATAAACAGCAAAAAGCTCATATATCAACAAACAACAACAAAAAAAAACCCAACCAAAATTTATTCCAAAAGAATATGAAAATGGTATCTCTAAAAGATATAAGGCATATTTGCACTCCAATTTACAATTCTTAAAATCATGCCTTTTTATCTTGTTTTCAAATTATTATTTTTCCCCAGTCTGCTCAAGAGCTACATTTCTGGACTACATGTAGCCAAGAAGAGTCAATCCAAGTACAAAAAACAGCCGACCACTTTAGTCTCTGAAAAACACAGGTGAAGACATCTGTTCAGGAAGGGTGCAGACATTTCTGTACTTCTCACCTCTCTAGTGTTTACACACCTGAGTGTCAGCCTCAGGTAGCTTTCCAGACTTTCATCTGTCATAGTATGTACAAGACACTGTAATAAAGAGCCAGTTCTAAGCTTCTCACTTGCAGTCAGCATTGCCAAGTGCAACTGCATGTCAAGGGCAACAGAGCAGATGCTTCAGGCACCCCGTTGAAAAGAAATGAATTTTCAGGAGCCAGGGAAGACGACCCCGAGGTGCAAGGAAGTTGAGAAAGAAGCATGAAGAAGCCCTTTTGGGGGCTGTGATCAGAGTCCTTTTTGTTCTGAGGTCTATGGGATATCTCACCCCAGTAATCTGTGTCCACTATGAAGCCAAAGCAGTTCTTGAAGATTGTTGTGCTACACTGGTGGCTGTGTCTTGAGGCAGCTGGGGTGCCAGAGCAACCCATACACCATGCATGTGAGACAACATATGCTGTTAAGAAAGCAACATGATGATCTCCTCCTCTCCTTTCCCATGGAGTACTGGGCACTGCTCATGGTCTGCACACACACAGGTATAAACATGCCCATTCCTACCCTGAGATCTTTCCACACAGAGGCAGAAGTCCCCACGCTTGGTGCATCCTTGCTGGTACATGCAGAACCACACATGGGACTTCAGCTGAGGATGTGGAAAAATCTCCTCTATGAGCAGAGGTAAGCAAGTGGGAAAAGTAAGCAATGGATGAGAGGAACAAACGTGACGTGACACTAAGATGCTCTGAGATCTCAGACACTGAAATCTGTGTGAGGGCCTGTCAGTGACATTTAAATCAGTTCTTCCCAGCAGTCAGGGAACATGCAACATTAGGATTCCTGCTGGTCCAATTTAGTGCAGACAAAACAACAGCTTTAGCACCCAATTAAACAAACTTTTCTGCACCATCCACTTTGATCTATTGCCTCTAACAACTGCCCCAGCTGCCTGTGGTTAAAAGCTACCCCGTTGTGTGTCCCAGTTTAACTGTGGTACTTGTTGGCAGTGATGGCCTAGAGGACCAAAGTATAAAGGGGCAAAAATGTGGAAACCTCCTTTTAGGAGGCTGTGAGAATCAATAGCAAGTAAGAATAGCAGCTTGGATGTAGGTTTTGGCTCAGGACACTCTCCTAACAACACTGATGAGGGCTATAGCAGCAGTGACCCCTTCCATATGTACCTATCTGTACCTGCATATACACACCTGTGCAGCTTGATGCTTAAATTTGTGATCTAGTATCTGATACTGATTGCCACAAGAGACTTACAGCATGTCCTTGTATGGCCATTATTCTACCACAGACAGATTATCAATAGCATCTCTTCTCATGACTCCTGAGTGCCTACGGGTGCTTTTTCAGCAGCAGATGCAGAATATACATATCCCCACGATGTCCTAGAGAACAGACAGCCAGTGGCCAGCTAGATCCAGCTGCATCAGCAATGTCCTGAGGCACGCTGCCACCTGGTTGTAGTTTAGAGAGATGACAACAAACACCCCTCACTCCTTCAGCTTCCTTCACAGCAACGTTACCTGGCACCCAGAAAGTGTTGTGTTTGTTGTTGCAGAGGAGATGAAGGGTGATGAAGGTGCTATTTATCAGTAGGATCTGGGAGTTCTTCAAGACATGACAATTCAATGTGGATGCACTGAAAAAAAATACTTTCCCCCTTTCAGCCCCTATGGTACAAATGTACTTAAAAACACTATCATTTGATGGGTTCTGGTTTGTCTAGATCAATATCTGCTTGTCTAAAAGCAGAAAATGTTCCACAACAAGCAGGGTAACACATCTAGACTGCCTAAGTCAACCTAAGGACTTTACCTAAGTCTGGACTGTGTTGCTCTGGGTAAATTCAGTATGAAACACTGTCACTCACTACACATAGACATGAAAAAACCCCAACCTATAGAAGGTAAAGGAATGAGGAGTTCAGTCCTTAAGGTGAATGTGGTCTGTTGACATACCTGCCAGTTCAGAATATCCTCTACACGTCCTGGAGCTTATACATATATACAAGTATAATGTCTATTAAACTTGTATTTTCAGCTTAAAACAGCCAGTTTTAAGAGCTGTATTTTTACCCACATAACCCTGGATCAAAGTGGTTTAAAAGTATACAGTCATATAGCTTTACCTCCAGTGATACAGAAACATTCCTGTAATTGACACTGCCCTGTATCATGATCAGTCTCTCACAGTGGTCCTCTCCAAGGTACAGGTTGGACCTTTCTTAGTACTTCCTGAGGTATTTGTAGAGTTTATGCCAAGACTCTGGGAGCAATTACCAAAATGGAATGATACAGTTCGAAAGTAAGGCGTTCAAAAAGGTTTTAGAAAAAAGAAAGGCTACATGCAGGTGAATTAATTTTTTTACCTTCAGTCATTTAAAATGCTTAGAGAATTTACTTAAGAAGACAATACATTCTATTCAGACCTTTCCTGATATCTTTTATTTTCTGGCTGTCAGCAACAAGAAAACGTTACCTTATGTTATACAGTCTATTGCTGAGAGACTCGATGGTACTATTCATGTCATCCTTTTTTTCCTTCACCTTAATTAGAATTGAAGACTGAAATTTTGTGACTCTCAACACTCAGGAGATATGTAAATTACAAGGGAAAAACAGCTAAGGGCTTGCCTGCATGTGTTGCACACCAGATAAGTCAACACTCTTTCCTTCCCCTCTGCTATTACAGCATTTCCACTGCAGCATGTTTGGCCACACAATACCACAAAAGCTATTTATGGACTCTCCTATCAGTGTAGACACAGTGGTTAACAACACAAGACTGCAGTAACCAGGAACATTTTGGTATGACATTTTTCTAAAGGAAACCTTATTCCCTTGATTTCTGCAGGAAAGGGAGGAGCTGCTCCAAAGCTTCAGGCCTGTGGTTAAAGCACTGATGGAAGACCAGAGCTCTACCTTTGAAGATGAAATATAATTTTGGATGCTCATTTAAAATTGGGTTTAATTGATTCACTTGCATAACAAAGGCAGTAGCTTCTGAAAAGTGCTCACCTAAAGGAAGTGAAACCGCTGAGACAATGTGAAGAGCTGAAAACAAAGTGATGCAGCTGACACACTCATCTCAGGGGCATGGTGAATCTTGATTTTCTTAGATGGTTTCTGTCTAATGCTGTCATGCAAAGGCTCTTCAGAAACCCAGGCATGATTTTCAAAACATCCAGCTCTGGCCACTGATACTGAAAGACATTGAGAGACTTCACCTGTCACAAAATTCTCTAAAATTTGTTCCTGTATCAACTTTTACTGTTTGGGTGAGATAAGAAGAGAAATAATCACTGTTGTAGCACTTGATGGCCTTGGTAAGTGAAAAATTGATCGATATTTTTCTCCCATCCCCCTTGAGAATTTACAAAGTGAAAACAAGTATTCCTAGCAAAACAAAAAATTCAAAGTCTTCTCAACAAAATCATATATTATTGTTTAAAACTTTAATGTTAATTAAAATAAAATAAGGTGACTAGAAAAGCAATTATACCTTGGATTTTCAGATCAAAAAATCTGACTAATGTTTCATTCGTATGGATGTGATAGGGCCACCAAGTCTGCTTTATCTCTTGGAAGAAATTCTGTCCACTTTATATCTCTAAAGATTTGATTAACTTGACTTTATGTTTTATTCCATGAAGGACAAAAATCAAGGTAAACTGGCAGCAGATAATCAGAGGCAGCACCAACCCTCTGCAACAACTTGAGCTGATGTGCACTCCTGGTGTCCTGAGGAAGGATGCCAGTCCACTGCAACATCCCCCCTCCCTTCTCTTTCCCCCAGTCTTATGTTTGTATTTGCCCATTGTTGTGGACTGATAATGTTGCGTAAACATAAAACTAGTTCTTGTGCCTGTAAATGGAAATAATATTTCATCTGGTATAAAAAACCATGCTGAGGTACATACTTTATTGTCTTCCTATATTTTTGTGTTGAATATTGTACTGTATCTTCAGGGATTTGAGCTCTTACTTCTAGATCATTTGATATAACAAACCAAATAAACAGTCCCCAGATAAATACATGAATGGAAGCTGTCACTTTTGCTATTAAAAAAGGGCTATTTAAGTCATATAGTACATAGAAATAAAATGCTTCAGCTCCTCTCAGACACCATTTGGGAAAGAATTATTGTGTTAGAGGCACACAGGTATCATAGTTTTATTTGCCACAGTTGTAGCAATTAGGTTTATTGCTATACAAGGTGCTAACAAAGAGTAGCAGAGCCTGTCTGGTTTTCAAATTATTTTGTGCCTTTGATGGCAGTTTTTATACAGCTGCTTTCAGAGCTTCCTCTTTCTTGTTCACCAAACCACTCTGAGAAATATCGCAACAGGAACAAGCAAGTCCTTTTAAAACCATGTTAAGAACATCACTGTGAACCACATCTTTAAATAAACTGCTGTCCTCTTTAGAAGGAAATTCTGACTGTGAGTTATTCTAATGCGAAAGACAACAAATGGTATTTTGATTTGTATTTCATGGGTCTTTCCCAACACTAATGGACAGCCTCCCAGCCCTCCTCCAAAGACAATGGTTGTTTTTTCTCCTCCTGTGGGGGAAGAGAGACAGTGAAACCAGATGAGTACCTTGTGGGTCACAGAGATAGTTTGGGGTACACATGAGCTCAGCTCATGGTGCTCTCAGCTACCAGATCCACGTTGTGACCCAAGCCCGGCAATCACTTCTTCCCAGACAGACTGGTCACTGCTGCTGCCCAAAGTGAAATTCTTCAGCCATAGGAAAACTGGAGGGGAAGGGACAAATCTTTGACACCTTTTTGCCCTTTTCTAGTTTTTTACCTTCTGAAGATCTTAAACACTTGATTACCAATGGTAAACAAGGAGACATATCAACCCTTTCACTTCAAGCAAGCTGGTAGGTAACTAGCAGCACCCAAACAGGCACTGCACCATCACAACAGGATGACTTCTTATCACTTGCCAATGTTACAACACAATAGGAACTTGATTCAGCAGGATCCTCCTCTTCTTTCCAGATCATGCAGAAACATCGTGAACTATAGAAAATTAAAATCGCTGCCCACCTGTAACTCAAACAATCAAAAGCCTCAGATGTTGAGCTGGCCCTGCCATCCTGTAGTGCAGGAAAAAATATCTGGCAATATACACATTGCCAAGTTGTTTATTACTGAATCAGATTGCATCCATACATATCCTAAGCAATCTGTTACTAGGTGCTGATTTATTTAATAACTTAATGGACTTTGAACAGTTTCCAGAAAAGGATACTGGGCCTCAAGGTTGTGTTGTTACTTTGTTCAAATGAAGCAACAATAGCTGAAAAAACTCTCATGAGTCCTCAGCAAAGGTAGGAAAAAAATAATTCTGCATTGTGGCAGACCTTGAAATCAGATCAAAGAGCAACTGTAAAGCATCCTCTTTTAAACTGCAAGAGTAGATGAAAGGAATCATTTACCCTTATGCTCTTAAAGTGAGATTGGATCTACAGCTTGGAGAGACCGGTTCAGAAACAATCATAATCAACAAATCTTTCACAAGATGTAAACTGTTCAGTATACAATAGATCTTTGAACTGGATGATCTTTGGAGATTTATTCTGTCATACCTTCAGTCCTGTAATTTTGTATAATCAAAGTGAAACTGAAATACCCAGTTTTAGCATTAGCTAAATGTAAACAGATCTTCTATTTCTGCAGACTGTTTTGCATTAAAATATGCCAAAATGTCTTGCAGAGTCCATTAAGTGGCATTCTTTTTTGCAGGAGAGGAAGGGCAAATGATTCTCAGAAAACTGCAATGGCCCCCCCCGGAAGTCCTGGAAGAGCCCTCAGGATGCTCTGTGGACTGGGGGCTGTGGTGATTGCAGACCACCAGACCCTCTTTGGGGCATAATGACAAGACCTGAAGAGTGTTTCTTCTGATGAAGCAGACTTGTGGCTGTGACACTGCATGCAAGATGAAGTTTGTTATATCTCCCAAAGGCATACTTTGGAGTCCTCTTGGCTCCACAGTGGCATCCTCTTGCTGCCTCAGGCAGCTGATGTTCCCCCAAGCACCTCCCTCTCAGTCCTGGCGGTGGTGGATTGTGAGAGTGGAGAAGCCCACTGGAGATTAATTTGCCACATGCACTTTGGCACAGGGATGCCCCAGACTGAAGGACCAAGCTGGGCAGTTGGGCAGGCGCTGGAGGCAGGTGGCAGGCATGGTGGATGCATGGCACTCTGTGCCCAGGGCTGGTGGTGTCAGCACAAACACCCACACAGATCAACTTTCTCCCTAACTGACTGAGCAATGCAGGCTCAGCAGGTGGCAGAGCCTGGGTATGGTCTTCACTAACTGAGATCTGAGTATCAGACAAGATCCAGGGCCCAGACTTTCAGTAAACACTGGAAGAAACACAGAATTGGGCTCAAAACTCAATGCCTCTTGCTGCTGGTTGAGGAGATGTTTCTGAACTCCTTAGTCACACAGCCTTGATATAGGAGGTCTCAACATGGATCTGAAGAGACCACAGCTAGAATTGTCATAAATACATAATACAATCCCACTGCTAAATCTAGAGAATGGCACTGCATTTCCCCATAAAAAACTTCTGTTTTGTTCTGTGCAACTGGATAAGATTTTGAAAAAGAATAAACCAGATATTTGCTAGTCTTTTCAGTTTCAAGGGCAAAGCTGTACAGTTACACTCATGCTCTCTTCTGAAAAGGGGATGGTTACAGTGAATCTGATTAGTTTCTGGTCTCTTTATAAGCACAACACACAGGTTTCTCTGTGCATCCTTATTGTTGTGTCAAATAAATGTGATTTTGTTATTTTCATAAAGTTCAAAAAATCATGAATTTACAAATTGATAGCAATTTCAAATAAAATCTATATTCACATCTCTGAATATTGTCATCTGTCCTTAAAAACAGGTCTAGCAAGTGCTTGTAAGCAATGTGGTGAGCCCAGGTGAGCTACACACTTGGCAAGAGCTTGAGGAAGTGAATTTTTCTGAAAGTCAAAATGCAGCACCTGCCTGAACTGACCTCAACTGATACAGGCAAAAATGCCTGCTCCATGAGTTTCCCAGTATTCCAGCTTCCTTTCAAAGCCCCCAGTCTTAGAAAACACTCCTGGCCAGCTGAAGGCACTGGTGTCTTCTGGCAGCCTACACGCAGACCTGCACTCTATATCCCCCTTTAAGCATGTTAAACCTGACAGGGATCTACCTGTCTGCCAGCTGCAGTGTTCCCAGAAAAGCTGATGCAGAGAGCCTGTCTCCTGAAGGTCCACAAGGAGCCTGCCTATAAGAGCACCATGAGCCCTTGTCCCTTGTAAGGGCCTAATCTGAAACCACACTAGAGATGGCAGAACAAACTACTCTGCTTCACTTCTGTGGGTCTTTGAGTAGCCAAGGTCTTGGGGTAATTATATATCTACACAGAGTGTGTGCTGTATCCATCTATACAAAGTACAAGATTATATTACAGTATTACATCACAGACTAATTTTGGTATAAAACAGCATCCCTTAATCTGAGGGGAGGCAATAACTCTCAGAACAGGTAAAGCAGAAGGACTCGTGTTGTACCTTGCGTGGAGATCTTGCGGATTTATCCATTCCAAGTAAATTTATCTAATCATTTAGAAGCAGTGAAGTTAGGATTTGAGAGCAACTCTAGAGCCCACTGAAGTCATCCAGAAAGCTTTCTGGAAGCTTTGGATTCAGAGTGCAACAGCTGTTCAAAACCTAAACCTGAGAAAACAGAATGTACAAGAACAAACGGGGCTGATCACAACTGCAGATAGAGCTTGGGGCAGCTTGGGCTACTTGTACTCAGAGAATCTAGGGTAGAGGACATGATAGGCTTGGTTTCTGCAAGGAGATGGGGCTCATGAGTCCCTTGCAGGGAGCCCAGCTCCAAGTAAGATTTCCCTTATTAACAATTATTTTTCTTTTTCTCTTGCAGCACATGTTGGAAGTATGCAACAAAGCAGAAGGCTAAAAGCTCAACTATCCAAAGCTCTCCATCCTAATGCACTCCTCTAGAGCATAGCAGGGTTTTGAAGAACGACAAAAAAAGGTGATGAATATTCAAGTGGCAGAATTTACTGCAGAGCCCTGAACAACCAACTGCAAGACAATGCATTATATTATGTTTTAGACCCTATGCCACTTCCAGCTCACAGGCTGAGGGCCTCACCCAGATTCACACATTGATCCTGCAGCAGGATCCATACAAGCATGAAGGCTGACATAACACTAATTACCCATGCCCATTAGTGGAACCTCTTTTCCTGCACAGCTTGTAGCATCCACAATAATGTTCCAGGGGATGCACCAAGAGGTTTAACTGAAACAAAATGCCCTCACATGAGAAGCACAGATAACACATCATTCTCTGTGCTGCATGTTTAATCCCTTTGTGCAAATTCTCATACATTTGTGCACCTTTGAGGTAAAAAGTATGATAAAATCAGCACTATTCCTTTTATGATACAGATAGAATTTTCCAAAATCCAATCCTCTGTTAAAAATGTGAAGACAATACGAAGGCTGCAAATGCATTAAAAAGTAAACAGCATAAAATTAAGCTGAGGTTTTCACTGCTGGGGCAATTAGAAACAGATCAGAGTCTGGGTGTTACAAATTACAATGCTTTGGCTGATGTAAAAAGCACCAACAAGACATTGCATGGTTTTCAGTCTCCTCACCTCACACAAAGCTGAGAGATTTTCTAATATAGAGAAATAAACCAACACTCACATACACATACAGTGAGATCTTGTACACAAGTGTAAGCAAGCCTTCAAGGCTGGCACTCAGATATGCTGAAGGCAAGTAAAGGTCAGCCCATCTTCATACCTGACCATGAATACCAAGGAGAGGGCTGGAAAACTACTGTGTTATTCTTTTATACCTGAGACCATACTTATATGCCAGGGAATGTTAAAACAAACAACTGTGATAAAAGGCTTCTCTTTCTGATGGAAGAAAGAGAAAAGATAGAAGAAAACCCCGTGGAATGTTGTGCCTTGCCAGCAATATTAGTCTTCCTACAACTATAAGCCTTCCTGAATATAGGAGGTTGTAGAGCCACAGGAAATCTCTCCTCAGTAGCAAACCAAAACCTACTTTCTCTACTTGTATTATCCTGAACACTCTACATGTTTTCTTTCATATAGGAAAACCTGGAATTAAAGAATCTGGCAGAATCTTTGAAAAGCTTGTTTCTTGGTCTCTCAATTTCAGCAACATAATGCTAAAGGTAGGAAATACTTTATAAAATAACCTTCTGTCTCCATAAAATACGTTTATAAAAACCAAAAGCCACACCAGTAAATACTGCCTCAAAAATACATAAAACAAATTTACACTCTTAAAATTATAAGTCAAATGAGACTTCAAAACAAAGCTATAATAATTACTCCATTATTATCACACTTCTAATGAGAATATACTAATTTTTGGAAGTCAACTTTTTTTCCTAAAACTTAAACCCCTGTCTTTCAAACAATTGGAGAAGTAAAACTATTCCATCCATCTAATAATGCAGTGTGAGAGTGCATAAATGCAAATGTGCTGCTGAGCATAATCAGCACTCTACACCTGAGAGTCACAGAGTCCTGTTTAGCTGAGTAAGGTTTCCTGGTTGAGCAGGGAGCTCTGGCATGCAGCCCATGCAATCAGCACACCAGCTTGTCATGGCAGGCTGTACACAGTCATGGACATGTTTAGATATTTCAGAAGTTTTTTATGACTTACCATATGTGTCTGAAGTCACCTCAATCTGGACTGAAATTACCAGAAACTGCTATAAATGTTGTAGTTACTTTTTTCCCCAAATATATATAATTTTGGTATCTAGTAGTTTGTGTCACATCAATAAACCCATCATGCATTGGAGTGTGAATACACTGTTGAAAGTGTTGATGCTGTTGAAAGATTATATCAAGGGCATGGGAAAACATGATTAAGTTCCATGTCACTGAGTTCTCTCATTTTTGTATAACACATACAGTCACTTTTAGATGAAAAAAAAAAAAGCTTTATTACAATGAAAGGGAAATATCAACTAAACAGAAATAATGTCAAGCAGAAGTGTAAATCATAGGCAGGTCTGACAAACCAATACCATGTATTAAAGTTGCTATGGATGCCCTGAGGCAGAGCAGCACAGTTTTCTCAAGTGTTATGAAAATAGACAATTGAAGGTACATTGTAAATTTGTTCCAAGCTGTGCTCACCTCCAGCTGGCATTCAGCATGGTGCTGGCACTGAACCTGTGGCCAGCAAAGCTGCACCCGTCTGTTCCCAAGAAGAACCTGGCCCAAGTCTGTGAGTTCAGCCATTCCTGCAGTACTCCTTAAATCATGGAGGGCAGTGATGGAAAGGGTTTCACATGATCTTCCAAGGCAGCTCATGTAGCATCAGCTGCATTTTTGGTCTCTTTTCTTCTACCACCGTATTTTCAGTTTTCAGGTTTGTAGTCTTACATTGGCTGTAATTTCCATACTTTTGACTAGATTTAGTTAGCCTAGCTCCTTATGAAAATCAGATTTCCAGGATCAGTCTGTTTATATGTATGTAATAAACTTCTAATGCTGATTTCAGGCCAATCAGACAGACATTGGAGATATCAAATATGATGGGCTCAAATATGATGTCTATTTTGTAAAAACAGAGTGAAGGATACCAAGGTTTCGATTTTGTTGGCCACTTAAAAGAGACAGCCTGCAAATAACTGTGGAAATATTTGACAGAACAAAGGCTGTAAGAAAAAGTATGGGAACTATATAGGATACATGGTAAAACCAGAAAATAGTAGTTTAATTTAGTTTTTAAAAGCCTATGAATGAAAAGGCTCAAGACCACAGGCAACTGAGTTTCCACAGCATTCTCTGTAGCCACAGGCCTTGATATACACACCTTTGTGAACAAGATAAATTTATAGCAACAGCTATATTTAAGCTAATATTAATGATGTGATTTTCATTACTAAGCTTTTTTGTCTTCTACAATAAATGGGATTGCTGCTAGAATCTGAGGGAATTTAACAGCCATGCTGGGCTGGCCATCTCTGCACAATGCTCAATAAAGACGCTGCATAGTGTCTGTTTGTCTAAAAGAAAAAACAGTCTGTATATGTATAAACTAGTTCAACAGAGAGAGTCAAAGCTTAATTAATTGCTCCTGGTTGATTTTAACCCCATTTCAATCAGTGGTGGGCTAACACTGGGGATGGTGGTGGTGATGGTTGTGTGAACTGCACTGAGCAGCAGAGCAGTAACAGCTGAACATCAGTCCCAGCTGCTTCCAACACATCCATCCCTGGGTCAGTTCTCATTCCAGCTCAAATAGTAATTTCCACAAGAAACAGACTTCTCTGCTTTCAGCAGGGCAGCAAAGAAATCCATATTTCTTAAATTAATACTACTTCTGGGAATTCTGCATTGCAGTTGTTGGAAGAAACTGCTAGTTTTATACCTAAAATTCAATTAAAGAATCCCCAGGATTTTTTCTCCTGTAATTTAGTGGCATTTCTCTCACAGGCTAACCAGAATTATTTGCAAACTGTTATGGCTACTGCAGACAAAAGAGGTCACCAAGCTGCAGCAGTAGCTGTAATTAACACAGGAGCATACGTCAATACGTAATTGACTTCAGAAGGAATTCAGAGCAGCCACAGAACCAAGCAGCTCTGACAAGCTTTTGGCATCCAAACAGCAGCTACTCCTGCCACAAGCTGGAACAAGAGCAGGAAGAGACCAAGAGGACCATTTTTTTCTGCAAGGATTTTTCTAAAATCACCTTCCCAGGATGCATAGTCACATCAGATCCATGAAACCTACCCTGCTTAGAGATCCTCAGTTTATGTGAGCAACAGTGATGGCAGAATTTCAAAGCTCTTGACCAGTCAGCTATTATTTACCATGGCTTGAATGACAGGACAGTGGGCCTAGGTATGATGAATATGGGCTGCAGCTACCAAGATGTTAGATTGTGCCACTGGGTCAGAATGCAACATTTCAGCAAAAAGAGGAGCCTTAGGCAGTCATACAAGGAATCTAGGAGGAATGGACCTGAAGGATGATTTTTTTGCCTGTGAGAGCAATGTGCTGAGTAGTTGTACAGAAGGAACAGCTCCTCTTTGAGAAGCAAGCTAATAATCACATTTTTTCTCTGTAATTAGTCCTGAGAGTGAAAGGTATAGTCCACCACCCCCCACAATCAGAAACACCAACAGTGACCATTTAAGAAAGTTAGAGAGCCCAGCCAGATGCACGCAGTGTTTTGTAAGGGTGGGACACCAAACATCCCTATTCTGAAATGAACCATAAGGTGGCACTGCTTTAAAACATTACCTGAGAAAATTTTCTCTGACATTTTCTATGCTCTACAAAATTCCACAGAGTTCCCACTTTTAATTTAAGTGAATCAAGTCATCCTACAGAAACTGCAGTGATACAGTGAGAGCGTACATCATTGGCATTTGTACTTTCACATGTATTATTTTCTCAGAAATTGCTACGTTTTGTTCTGAAAACCAAAATGTCTCAGATACTTTGTTCAAGCACTGCAACACCCATTTCAAAATTCATGTTTTTGTGTGTAACAGCCAGACCTGTCTTCTCTTTATACAACCTCTGACATGTAAGACCATAAAGACTCTGCTCTTTCTCTGTGTGTGACAACAGCCAACAAAGACACTTCTGACAAGTTATTTTCTAGTTCACATCTAAGGTACAGGACAAGCTGTCAGATAAATGCAGTCTTTGCAAGTGGAGTTGCAGGAAGTTCCTAGTGGATATGGCAAAATGAACTACAGAGTTAGTTCATTTGTCTATTGATTTGCTGCTATATTCGACCTGGCCACCATTTTAAATGAATGGTGAAAGGGACATAAAGCCACCTATGGAAAGGAGACTGTCAGTCTGAGAGAATAGTAGGAGTGTGATGTGTGATTCTTAACAAACTTCCTGAATCTCCAAATCCCATGGGCACAGAGAACCAGCTGCTGGTTTTGTACCAGGGTATAATACCAGTTTTACATAGCACAAGAAAAAGAAATGGGTCAGAAAGTAAATGCTCACCGACTGCAGAACCTTCTGTTGGGTTGTCCTGTAAGAGCCTAACTGATCTGAAAATAACAAGACCATGAGTTCAGGTCCCCCTTGATCTTCTGTATCCAGCCAGTCTCCTGCCCTGCAAAGAACTCCTCAGCTTTCAGGCAGTCCTTGCTGTGAACAATGCAAGGTCTTTAAACCACTGTTATTTTTTGCAGTCTCTACCACAAAGTATGGCTCACCACCTCCTGCTACCACATGCTATGCAGAAGAACACATTAGGAAGAGACAGCAGAACTACCTGAGCTTAGCTTTAGATATTTTCTTTCTTCCAGGTACTTTTGATCTAGCTTTGCTTCCCAGTAGTGACCTTGCACTGGCACCCTTTCAACCAATGGACCAAAGTGTTCAAAAAGCCAGTGAGGTGATGGGCAGGCCGCAGACCCCGTTCCAAGTTAACCACGTGGCAGAATGATAAACCAGCATCAGACTAGAGCTGACTTCAGGATGTGCAATTGCCAGGAACTGACCCAGGCTCTGTGTTGACAGACAAACAACATCTATTCATTGATGCATCTCTTTGGAGTCATATATTCACTCTGCCCATGGAGCAGAAGACACACTCAATACACAGTCTGGCAGAATGCAAAGCAGTTAAGTGAAACAGCTGGAGAGACACCACAACTGTCCACGCATATCTACATGAGGATGTTCTCACTTATTATTACCTTACTTGCATTTCAAATGGGAGAATTGACTATTTCATGTCAAGAATGTAAACACAGATCCCATCAGAGTGTAATGACTCAGATGATTTTGAGCTGATCCCTACCATTCTGGCAAAGTAATGAGAAGTTTATTTCAACTGCAGTTGGCTGAAAAGCCTTCCATGGATTTAAAAACCAAAAGACAACAATAGTGGGAGACGGGAGGATGGATGAACTTGTGAATATCAGCATTCAGAGTTAATAAAATTCTACCAGTAAAGTTCATATGATGAATTTTAGTCTAGATTATTTTTTTTCCTATTTTGATCATCCAAGATAGTCTTTATTTCAAATAACACCATAGGAGCAGTAATTAATTCAAATGAAGTGAGATTTTCTCTAAATGAGCAAGAAAGACATTTCAAAATCTTCTGAGCTCCAAACCTTAACAAAAAAGAGATTTATCTTTAAAACTTTAAAATACAACTA